GCCCATTTAAGAATTGATCAATCAGATTTTATTTTTTTGGAAATCAATTAATTTATCTATTCCTTCTTCTTTTTTTACTTACTCTTCCTTTTTATGTGTCCCCTAGGGGTGTGCATTCGAATAGGTTTATCGATAAATCAAATCGATTATTTGTTATCGAAATCAAAATCGAAAAAATCGAAACCTTATTGAAACGATAACGATAAGCATATGTACAAATCGATAATCGATAAGTAATTATCGATAAGGGTCAAAATCGAATGCACACCCATACACTGTAGACACTTGTTAAATGAGTAATTACCTATTTGTGTAGATTAATATAACATACAGAATGTATATATATTCCGCTACTATTTTGAAAGCGGCTATACAATATTATTTTCCCTAATCTATACCATTTCCTTTACCCTAAGCCCCTTACCCTATTATTTCCTCTACCACATTTAAGGAATGATCATATTTAAAGATCAAGGGAATGAAGTTCAAATTAATGGAAAACAGAATTAGCCGTGATGATGTGTTTTGTTTTGTTTTGTTTTTTTTATACCGTTGAAGTGTTGGTGGCATACATTTGATCCCTCACTTTAGTTTTGTTGCATGTGTTTGTTAACACAATTTTTATATTATAAATGGTGTTCGTCTTATTTTAGCTTCTTTTTGTCCATATTAGTTAGGCGCGTTTACAGCGATATACTTTCCGTGGAATCCCGCAAATTTTCTTATTGGTGTAATCGATAAGCCCCCAAAATTGATAAATCGAAATCGAAAAAATCGAAACCTTATTGAAACGATAACGATAAGCATATGTACAAATCGATAATCGATAAGTAATTATCGATAAGGGTCAAAATCGAATGCACACCCTTAGTGTCTCCACTTACTCTTCACGCGACTGAAATCTCCAATCCAGGAGTTGGCGTAAATGTACCTTGCCACCAGAGCAAGCCTCACTAATTGTGGGGTAACTAATTTTTACAACTTATTATTTTTGGCATATTTTGGGCAGAGACGACTCAATGATATTGGGGGTAGTGCACGATTAGCCACTAATAACACATGTATTTACTTTTAAGCCACTGTTTAAAATGTCTTTAGTCTTTAGCCATTGCTTTAATAAACTTTAGCTACCCGGACGAAAATACCCTTCTACTCATGTCCTTAACTTTTGAACTTAACTTCAGGACTCCATATCCTTAACTTTTGGGTTTCTTAGCCCAAGTCCAGGACCTATTGTCCTTAACTTTTGAGCTTGTTAGTCTAAGTTTAGGACTTCAGGACCTATTGTCCTTAACTTTGAACTTGTAACTGTAAGTTCAGGACCTATTGTCCTTAACTTTTGGGCTTCTTAGCCTAAGTTCAGGACCTATTGTCCTTAACTTTTGAGCTTGTTAGTCTAAATTCAAGACCAAGTGTCCTTAACTTTTGAACTTGTAATTCTAAGTTTAGGACCAAGTGTCCTTAACTTTTGAACTTGGAACTCGAAGTTCAGGACCAAGTGTCCTTAACTTTTGAACTTGTAATTCTAAGTTCAGGATCAAGTGTCCTTAACTTTTGAACTTGGAACTCGAAGTTCAGGACCAAATGTCCTTAACTTTTGAACTTGTAACTGTAAGTTTAGGACTACCTATCTTTAATTTCTGTGCTTGTAACTCTAATCGTCTGAAAATAGTGGCACTTGTGTATGTGGATTTTTACGGCTAATATGTTGATACAGCAAATGAAAAAAAGAATTCTGGTGCGGAAAATCTCCCTTGTTGCTTCTATTAGATGGCAATTCCTCCTTCAGTGGCCTGATCCATATGTCACATCTTGGACGTTTGTAAGCAAACTATATTCGTTGAACCATTACCTGTTTCGAGTTTGAAGTAATCTGCAACGGAATTTCAACTTTGAGAAAAGCTTTCGAATTTTGTTGCCGACGACGAAGCCATCTCAACCGGAGTTCCGAGTTCAGAGATAAGCGAGGGTTTGAGAAGAAAAGTAATGGAAGAAAGGGTAAAAATATCTTTTCATATTAATTTTAATAGAGTAGTGGCTATTTTTGCTCAACATTAGAATTGCTGGATAAAAAATAAATACCCCCTTCAATAGTGGCTACCACACGCCATTTTTACATGATATTGGTAGAGCTGTCAAAACGGGCTAGCCCAGCCCAACGCAGCCCAAGCCTCGTGGGCTTTTAAATTTGGTGGACTAGGGCGGGCCAGCCCTCCATCTATATGGGCCTTAAAATGGTCAGGTCAGCACGGCCCTAGGGAGGCCGCGGGTTAGGGCAGGCTGGCCCTTCAATTTTTTTAGAAAAAAATATTTCCCCAAATCTTTAGATTTTTTTTCGTGATATAATCTCTTGACCATATGAATGACTTCTCTTTATTTAGACTGTACAAGAATCTTGATATTTGACAAGGAATCTCGTAATTGAAATGCAAATTCTCTGTATCTCTACATCTTTTTTTTTTAACGTTACATGAATATTTTTTAGTACTTTTCTTTCACTTTCCTTATATTCAGGAATTGCTTGAATAAGTTTATATGTTAAGGTTTTTTTAATTTAGGTTTAACATTATTTGTCGATTTCATCATTATAGTCCATGAAAATTTTAAAATTCATGATATTTGCTAGTATTGTCAATTTTTTTGGTATTAAAACTTGACCTTTTTCTATATTGAAGAGCAATTTAATAATTAATAATATATTAAAGTAACCAAACTGTTCAGTGGCCACTTAAACTAATATTTTCTTTTAAAAAAAATATTATTGGCCACTTAAAACTTTCCTAGTTCATTGCTAATTAAGCAAAAGAAAAACTAGTCTTGTTATACTACATGCATATCAAAATTATAAATTCTAGTTGATATGGAAGGGTAAATGAGCAATCTAAGGTTGGAAAATGGGGATTATAGTTAATATTTTTTTTTTAGTTTTTACTTTTTCTAAATATTCAAATTTGAATATAATTAATTTTTTGGCCCACGGGCCGGCCCAGGCCCAGCCTCGGTCAAGCCTCAAGGGCCAACGGGCTGACTTGGACCACGCTTATAAGCCTCAGTTTTAAATGGGCTAAAAAAATCCAACCCAGCCCTACCGAAGTAGCGGGCTGGGTTGGGCTGGCCTCACGGGCCAAGCCCATTTTGACGGCTCTAGATATTGGTGGCCTAAAACCAAACCTCAATAAGAGGCCTTAAGTTTATATAATAAAAAATTAATATATTGTGTTTATTTTTTATTTTTATTTTTGTAGCGATGGTATACCGACCATCTTGTATATATCTTGATTATTCATTCTTTTACCTGCTAGTTATCACCATTACAAATATTTTAACTCTACTCATTAAGGCTTTGATAATGTTTTTACAAGAAACACATATTGACAGTTAAGATAATATTTGTATAAATTTTCATAATCTAATAATCTCAAATTTGTACCACTAAATAGTTCTTAGTATAATTTCATACATTTAAAATAGTTCAAGTGCATTTCGAAGTAATAATAGCTTAATCCACTCTTTATAAGAAACGATCAACTCTAAATGATACTATAAGAGACTTTATTCTTTAATTATCAAACTCGTCATCAAATGAAGCTGTGTGGCTCCCATTAATGACAAGATGCGGGAAGCGAGGCTTAGATGGTTCGGACACATACAAAGGAGAAGCCCAGATGCTCCGGTAACGAGGTGTGAGCGGCTAGTTTTAGAGGGCACAAAAAGAGGTAGAGGACGGCCTAAGCAGTATTGGGGAAATGTGATCAAGCAGGACATGGCGAGGCTTCAGATTTCGGAGGACACGGCCCTTGATAGGAAGCTGTAGAGGTCGAGAATTAGGGTTGTAGATTAGGAGATAGTTGAGTCTTTCCTTACTTCGTCCCTTTGTGAGGCTAGTCTGGTAGGGTTTCTATCGAAGTCAGCTAGTGGCAATGTTGTGTCTTACTACTGTTTCGTTTTTCCATAGCGTCGAGTCTATATACTGTTTATCGTTTTTCCTTTGCATCTACTTTCTCATTTTCATGATGTTATTTTTCCTATGTTTTCTATTGGTGGTACTGATATTGTCTCTTTTTGTTTTGTTGAACCGAGGGTCTTTCGGAAACCATCTCTCTACTTCTTTAGGGTAGGGGTAAGACCTGCGTACACATCACCCTCCTCACTCCACTAGCGGGATTCTACTAGGTCGTTGTTGTTGTTGTTGCATATTTATTATAAAACTCTTACTTATTTACTTGAATAACCTCTATCACATTTCAAAAAAGAAGTAAAAATTTCAGAATCTTTTATTAATAATTTTATAATATGTAATAATATATACTATAATTTTTAAAACTTGGGGCTTTTCAATTCTAGGGGGCCTAAAGCAGTTGCTTTGGTGGCTTCCCCCTAGAGGCGACACTGATTTTGGGGTAGGGGCAAACCTCCCTAATTGTGGGGTAAATGATTGTTACAACTTATTATTTTATTTTTGCATATTTTGGGGTTTGAGAAGGCCCGACTAGGAAAAGAAACAAGGGCAAAGATCACATTTAGCCAGCTGTCAAAATTATTACATTTGGTAGCAGCAAAAACGTATAAAATTTGTATATTTTTTTGAATATAACATAAAAATATGTATATATATTTTGAAAGTGCCAGTGTCATTTTCCAAAAAAAGAGAAGAGAGCCTTGTGTTAATCGAACTTTGCACCTATATATTACAAGATACCAATGAGTTGCTACACAATTTTATTATAGTTCAAATGGTAGTTATACTAAGCTATATCTACTACTACACATATGTCAAATATGTGTCACCTAAGACCTACATCCCTTCCCTCTCCTCGGTTCTACTAAAAGATGGTAGAGATGTAGATGAAGATGAAGACAAGATGCTCAACTTTGCTGTAATGGTTGAGAGGAGAGGAGAGGAGAGGAGAAAACTGGCTAGATACTGCGTTTGTCATTGCACTTGTGTATGATTTTGTCATTTAATATCATGACAATAAACTATTCAACTGCATCCAAGATTTTACTTAAAGACAAATTCAACCTCAGACCATCAGCTTTGCACTGCAGAGTATTAACAGGACAACATTCACAGAAACAGCTTCTGCAGCTGTTGTCAAGAAAGAAGCAGACACCAAAAAAAGCTCAGGAACTATAGCAATGACTTAACTTCATATACATGTCATTTTAAGCCAAGAGGCCAAAGGACACTAACATATATACCTGAGTTTGTATATAAAACTTGTTGTCCCCTCAAAAACCTTCAATTCCTTTATAGTCAATTACCCCAAAGATGCATGCCGGGACAATTCCTCCATAGCAGCTTTTTCACTCTTCTTGGGCATTATATCAACGTGAAAGTTATATTAGCTGAGAAACATACTCCATAGCTTCCTTGCTGACGGGCAGCGTACAAACATATGATTTGACCTCTTCTTCACTTCCTTTACACGTGAAGCACGGGACCATACCCCATTCCCTGCAATTTTGACCGTGTTAGACAAAGCTTCATGTGCTGTAATCCAACACAATCTAGCTACTTAAGGGGTGCAGTGTTTTTCCAAATTATCCTCCAATGCTATTGAGTTGAGCCATTCTGACTTAGGTTAACATTTTGCAACACAATCTTGCCATCCTTTTGTTGCCACCACCTCCTTATATCTGATTCTAACTGGTAAATTGTGAGGCCTCAGTCTTCTGAGAAGTTCACGCGTATCCACAATTTCTTCTGAAATTTAATTGCCACCCATCTTGCCACCAATATTATGCTACAATTAACCCCGATTTGCTGCCAATCTGTATACTCACATTCCTCTGGCTAAAGTTGGCATATACATTGAATGGCTTGAGATAGAGGTTGTAGAACATACAACAAAGTTGAAAGCAATTCAACAGCTGCATGCAGCCAAGAAAAGACGTTGCAATTTATGGCATCTTTACCATGCCATAGATTGAAGGATGGCGCAGCTCTGTAGTGATTTGATCTACTAGTCCCCTGAAATCACCAGAGCTTCCAAACAAGTGCATCAGAACATCTAAGAAGTTAAGTTTTTGAGAATGATAAAAATATTTTTTTTTTCTTTTTGAGAATGCATATAAGAAGTTTAGTTTTACTTCAGATCTTCAAGATATCCAACAATGAACCAATTCCAACAGAGGGAAGGATGCAGGGATCGAGGAGACGGACAAATACAGCTTAACGAGAGGAATATTACAACATCGTGACTCATCGAAGATAGAATCTCTAAAAGAATCTTGATCTAGCATCCTACAAAAACATCCATTCCTGTCACTTTCTAATGGAAGCTCGCTTTCCAGATGAATAACTACAATCAAAAGTGTTCAACGACAAATGCAACCCAACCAACGTCTCCAAATAATTCTTTTTTCTGTTTGACAGTAGAGGATAATTCCGAAATCTGCCTAAACTTTGACATAAAAAAAATAAAGTAGTAATCATTTGAAAAAATAAAATATTAATAGATTCCCAACAAAAGCAATGGTTTCTGTGAAGTGTGAACATAAGACAGTTTTTTCAAGACCATAGAGGACTACTTAAAAGTTAAAACACCAAAGGTATCTATGCTTCTTCGAGCAACTACTATGCAAGAACTAACACTGTTTCCAATAGACTGCAGACTCGTAATCAGCTTTAACATTCTAGCTTAATACATCACCATTATCAACTATTTCATACAAACATATCCAAGAGATTTCTTCCAACAAACAATTTCACAAAGGTGTTTCTCTATCCATCTCTAAATCTGTAAATACCATTGAAACATGTCACACATAAAATAGCATTTAGCTGCCACAAAACAATCTCCACCTTGATGAAGAGCTTTATGACAATATGAAGAAACATGATAAACGTAACAATCCACTTTTCAGTTCAATATCCAAATCTGACTGGAATTTAAATGACAAGAAAGCGGTTTATTAATCGTTGATAACTGATAAGTGTCATGAAAGGAATAATTTTCAGCAGGACTAGTTATATAACGACACTCTTACAGCATCAGTATTGTTTACTAACATTTAGTTGTACATCGAGGTTCCCACTATGCCCACATATGCCTAGGCTACGAATGGCATCTAATGACTAGGCACACAATCATCAGCATAAATCATGCCCCTGATAGACTGGAAACCATACCTTAGTCATCTGTATCATGCACAGCAAAAGGCCAGCAATATTTTTTGTTCTTAGGAGTCAATTGATTTGCGGACAAGTTATACTTTATACTTGTAACTCTTTTTGGGATAGTGATAGTGTCCACGTCAGCATCTGAGCATCTTGGCTAATTTACTGGGCAGCTTATCCAGCTCACAAGCACAGGTTGCCAAAACAGTTGTTTGTACTAATGCTAAAGCAGATCAGCTCATACCAAATGTTGTAGCTGGGTTTCTGAACACGGGATCTCCAGGTTGAAGTTATACTTGGATCATAATGCAGAAATAACAATACATTGATTAATCAATGGTTTATCGTTTTTACTATCTGATGTTTGGTTCTTTGAACCATATTTAAATATATGTACCGTGCAATCTATAGTTCTAAACACGTATTTGGTTCAAATCGGATAAAAGATTTGTTATTGATAATACCCTTAGCCTATATCAAAACTTTATTCAATCGAACATAACATTAGTTTTACTATCATACTTAAATCAATAATTAATCAACTACTCTTACGGCTAAATCAAGCAACAAGTTGTACATTTGATACTTTGACTCTGTGGCATATTTACACATTCATCAACATTACTTAGGAGAAGTTTGGCAAGGTGAAGTGACAGGTTTTGGCAAGATCATTGGTATTAAGAAGCTCCTCATGGAGAAAGCTTCCAAGTCCTGTGGCAAGAAAGCAACACTTAATAAAAGTCAAGATGGAGTGTGGTTTGGAATACTACTAGGATCCATTCTACACTTTATCAGTTTCCCTAATTCCCTAATCTCAGGGGAGAAGGTATAGATGTACTTGTTTAAAGCCTGTCAAAAAGGGAACCTCTTTGTATCATATCTTGATCCATTTCTAACTGCTTGATCCATTTGGCTTGAGAGAAATAGAAAAACATTGGGAAAAAAAAACAAGATCTTAAACTACTTTAAGGCTTCTTATCTGCAGTACTTTTCCATTGAGTACGGAAAATTGTCCTCAAAATCATAGCGAAAAGGTTTCCTTTAGAACTCTTCAATAAGAGGTTCCACCTTTAGCTGCCTTTATTAACATATCTTCGCTCTTTGGCTGCAGAAAATATACAAAAAGAAAATAACCAGCTAAGCAGAATCGCCAAACATCTTGCCTTTATGAGCAAATCTGTAGCAATGTACTCTGTATGTATATCTAAGCTTCTGCCAGTAATCAGTCTTTGGACTCGGCCCTTAGGCTACAGAATGAAAATATTCGTTTGGCAACTTTGGCCTCAAGGATTGTAATAACAGCAATGCATCGTAAGCCTTATGAGTGGTTAGAAGGACTTCGTAGGAGCACATTTGGGGGGGGGGGGGGGGGGGTCTATTGGCAAATGCCAATATCTAGAGGAAATGAAAGGAAGATAATACTAGAACACAGAACAAACAACAAAAAAGAGAATTGAAAAATCAGTAGTATTCAAGTAGAGCAGAGAAACTTTTCAATTGAGCTAATATCTAATTCGCAGTGACTGAACCATTACACCAATTTAAAACAATACCTTTTCTTATCACTCCACAATGATTGTATACTGAGTGATAGAAGAATCATACCGACAAAGAAGAAATAAAGTCCCCATGAGTTCCCAGAGAACATATTAGATCCTCAAGAGTTCAATCATCCAGTTATGCCTTCACCTCAACTTGCTTTGGTCCTAATTCAGGGAGCAACAAACCAAGCCCATCCCTAGATTTAGCATCCAAACAACTCTCCTTTACATCTCGATACAACGGATTCGATGTCAAAATCCTCAACCCTTTATCCCTATCAATCTCTAAAACCTCAGGCAATCCATTAGTACATCCCTTTGACATTCCTACATCAATCCTTATGGCTTGGTTATCACAAACCCCATTAATTCCACTTTCTTGAATTGTATGTCCCATTATCATCCTTTTCACTCCCGGAATTGTAGCAAGCACATGTTCAAGAGTAGAACAATCACAATCCTTTTCCAACTCATTCGAAAACTTCCTCAACCAAACAACAGAATTCCTCCCCCTCACCAAATCCCTCGAAACTCTTCCCCTCACCCCACATATCCAATCCCTCACTTCCTCATTCACATTCTCCAATCCATAATCCACATGCTTAGTCAAAAGTCCACCATGAACAAATACAGAATCACCAACAACAACAACTGTTTGATTCTTTCCCAAAAACCTCTCCGAAATCGGCCCATTTGGCCTTAATGCTGCAATTCTTGTTCTAATACCATCAAAAAATTCCTGATTTACACCATGAAACTCAAAGGGTATCCCCAAAAATGGATCTTTAACACACCCTTTATCAAAACCATCACATAATTCTTTCATATCATTGCCTACACAATACCAAAAAGCCCAATCTTGAAATTCTCGAAGACCCTCTTTAGTAACATACCTAAAATCACCATCAACATTCATAATCTCATGATTACCATTCATAGTAATTAAATTACCATTTACCTTAGCAGCTTCCCTTTTCAGTTTTTCAAGAAAATAAAGAATCTTTAATTCTTGGCCACCACGGTCAAGTACATCACCTATTTGAACAACTGTAGTGGACCCACCACACCATTTGTCATGGTCATCAATTAAGCCAGCAAGTTTGAAGGCTTGTTTGGTTTTTTGGAAATCACCATGTAAGTCACCTATTGCAATTAAACGATTAGGAGAAGGGAATATAGTTTGGTTTGGCGACGAGGTTATTGTTGGTTGCGGAGGTAAAAAGAGGCCTCCACTGACAGAGAAATCGACGAATGTATCAACGAAAGAGAAGAAGATGGTTGGGAGATTTTGGCATGTTAGATTGGATTGTGACTCCATTGAATTGATTAAGGTTTCTTTTTCTTTTTTGGTTCGTAATTAGCTGTTGCGAAATTGTAATTGTGGAAGTATAAGTAATAACGCTTTTGTTACGAAATTGTAATTGTGGAAGTATAAGTATAACGCTTTTGTTAAGAAATACTGGGAATCTGGGATTGGTGAGGTGACTTGACTTTTGATTGACCTAAATAGCAAGTTCATGTTTTTTTTCTTCTTTTATTTTTAACTTTTTATCTTTCATGTCTTTTCTTTTTACAAAAAAAGAAAACCTTTTTAAATATTAATTTGAATTTATTTTAAAATATTTGATATTTTAAAATATAAATTATTTATTAGTATCTTTTTTCAAATATATCCTTACTGCTTCAATCAATGAAACATTAATTGAGTTATTCGATGAGAAATAAGATGCAATTCATACAAATACTCTAATGATTAAGGTTGTTAAATATCTTTCTTGACAAGTGAAACTTTTAGCCAAAATTATCCTTTCTTTAGGGGTAGGCTTAATTTTGTCCTCTAAATATAACCCTTAGCATTATTTGTCCTTTAAGTTTATAAAACTTGAGCACTTTTAGTTTAATACTCACTCCCGTTAAAAACCTAACAGAGACATAACACGTGATTTGCACGTGATGCTTAATGGAAAGAAATACCCGCTCTTTCACCCCCAATTCAGTCAATTTCTCTCCTTTTTCAAGAGCCCCTTCTCCAATTCACTCACTTTATCTCTATTACAGCAGGTAAAAAAACTCTAGCATTCTTGAATACATTTCAAGTCTTTAGTACTTGCGATCCCAGCTATGATTATTAGGAGCAATGGTGAAATAAACCCAAGTTATGGTAAGTGTTATTGCTACTTGTATTTTGTAAATAATCCTTCTTAATTTATTTTCGAAATCTCCACCATTTTTACAATACTTTACTATCTTTGAAGTTCTATAATATGTGGCCCTTATCTCGAATTCATATAGTATGTCTAAATAAACTTTCAATTATTTTTGTTTATGCAGATCCTTTGTACGAGGCAGATTATTTTACCATGAAAATAACACACGGTGGTTTAATGAAATTCAAGCCTACAAGGCATTATGTTGGGGGCAGAATGAACTTTATTGACTATGTCAATGGGGCTGAACTAAAGTTGTCGGTATTCAAATCTATGGCTGAATTATGCGGTTATAGGAATGAATCGGTAACTTTTTGGCACAAGCCCGAGAGGCTAGGTGACAAAATGAGGCTAGTTTCGACTGATAAGGAAGCCGCTGTTGTTGCAAAAAATATTCCCACCGATGACTGATTGGGTAGTTGATGTGTACTTTGAACATTTGGATTCGTATATAGAAATGGGTATTGAGGATGCTATCTATGAGGGACAAAGCAATTCAAGAAATGATAATCATGTCACTGTTGAAGAATATCAAAAAGAAGTTGGAGGTGAAAATTCTTCAAGTAGTGAAGATTTTGAAGATTCAGAAAATGACTTGTCAGATGAAAATGATTTATCAGAAAAAAATTAGAAATGAGAAGCGTAGATACGAGGTTAGTGAAGAGCTACAGAGAAAGTTGAATGTTGAAGATGGGGAGTCGAACTGCTGCAACTCTGATGACACGATGAGCTTACAAAGTGATTCGGATACCGAAAGTTTAAACTTTCCAAAGTTCAACCCCAAAACAGATGGAAAAAATCCAAAATTGGCATTAGAGTTAACATTTGGAAACAAGCGAGAGTTCATACATGCTGTAATAACTCATGAAGTTAGTCAAGGAAAATACATAAAATGGCGAAAAAATGACAACACACGAGTGAGAGCAGTTTGTAGACATTCAGGTTGCGACTGGGAGATTATGGCTTCAAGAATGCATAGGGATAGGGCATTTCAGATCAAGACATACCATGATTATCATACTTGTAAAGGATGGAACCACAGGAACAACACCATAACTTCTTCCTACATTGCAAGAAGATATATTGATGACATTAGCAGGCACAGGGATTGGAATGTTAAGGAATTTAGAGATCATGTGAGTGTAGAGCTAAGAGCTCATGTGACATTACATCAATGTCGAAGAGCTAAGCAAAAGGCACTCAAAACAATTGATGGAGATCTAAATGCTCAATACAAGGTAATGTGGAACTATTGTAATGAAATTGGGAGGACAAATCCAAATACTTCTATCTATATGAAGTTGGTTGAAAATGAGGTTCCTAACAAACCTAATAGATTTCAGAGAATCTATATATTGCTTTGGGGGTTGTAAGGAAGGTTTCAAGAGTGGTTGTAGAAGGATAGTTAGAGTAGATGGTTGTTGGCTTAAGGGTCCAATGTAGGAGCAAGTAGAACTAAAATGAAAAGAAAGCAGAATTCCTTGCTTTGTAGCTTATGTTATAATGCTGGCCACAATAAAAGAACATGCAAATTTTATATTGTTCGGCCAGATTCCCAAGTTGATGAGCCTTCATCTTATGCTCCTGCCTCGTCAACTCGTGCAAAGCTTCCGGTATCAATAACTTACAATTGAATTCTGTTTATTAAGTTATTATAATATGAACGAGTAATAGTACCATATATTTTGTTTGCAGGTAAGAAGAGGACGTGTGGCGCATGAACATATGCAAAGTGCTCAAGAATTTGATTCTTAACATGACTGAAGTTCTGATATTGTTTGATATTTTGTTGCTGAAATGGTGATATTTTGTTGTTGAAATGCTGGAATGAGTACTTTTGCCGCGGAAATGCCGAATTTTTGCTGTTGATATGCTGATTTTCGCTGCTGGAATGCTGACATTTTTGCTGTTGAAATGCTGGAATGCTGTATTTTTTCCGCTGAAAAACTGATTTTTGTTGCTGAAATGCTGATTTGCTGCTGAAATGCTGATTTTGGCTGCTGAAATGCTGATAGCTTTGCACTTTGAATGCTTTTTTACTGCTGGAATGCTGGTTTTGTAGCTGAAATGCTGATAGCTTTGAACTTTGAATGCTTTTTTACTTATAGAATGCTTCATCATTGAAATGTTGTCGATGATGAAGATTATTTTTGCTGTTGCAAAGATTTATTTTTCTTCTGTTAGATACTTCAATTCTGCTGAATCTGTTTCATTTCTTCCTTTTTTTTATAAAGAACATTCTGTTAGTTTTTTAACTGAAGTTATTTTAGGTCTGTTAGTGAGAATTTTTAACTGAAGTTATAATTTTCTGTTAGTGAGACTAAAAGTGCTCAAGTCTTGTAAACTTAAAGGATTAATAGTGCTAAGGGTTATATCTAGAGGACAAAGTTAAGCCTACCCCTAAAGATAAGGGATAATTTTGGCTAAACACTCTTGACAAGTGTGTAAAAATTATACTCTCTTCCGTCCACTTTAATTAATTCTTTAGCCTTTGTTTGTAGTCCATCCAAGAGATGTATACCAGGTTCACTACACCGACAAATGAACTTGAGTCTCTTGCAATGTTTATCCTGGAAGAAGACAAGGTTGAGAAGATCTTAACTAGAGTTCTGCCAATTTCCTGGGAAAGCAAAATCACAGCCATTCGGGAATCCAAGAATATTGCTACCCTAAAATTGGATGAACTGATTGGAAATCTGATTGCCTATGAATTGAGAAGGCAGACTATGAAGATGGATGCTCCAAAGAAAGAAAGAAGTCTGGCTCTCAGAATCTCAGAAGGATCAGATCTTGAAGATGATGAGATGGCTATTATAACCAGGGATTTCAAAAAGTATCTTATGAGAGGAAAGGGTCCTTTAAGAGGAATAACCTCCAACAAATCTCGGGCTCCTGAGAAGAAGACTAATGATGGTTGCTATAAGTGTGGTAAGACAGACCACATGATCAAGAATTGCCCTCAATGGAAGATTGAGTGGAAGAAAGAAAGAGCTGAACGGAGAAACAGGAAGAAGGAACAGGTCTAACCAAAAAGGAACAAAGGTTCAACTAAAGCTATGGTTGCTGCATGGGGAGAAATGATCACGCCCAACTATGCCTTATAAAAAGGACTAAGCGGTCGCTGCAAATATAATCCGGTTTACAAGTCCGGAGTCGAATCCCACGGAGAACTAAGGTTTAGCTACAGCTGTTCACTATCACCAAGAAGACAAGCTTGAACAATTCCTAACTTATAGATATTAAGATTCTTGTGTTTAACTAATTAACTAATAAATTAAAATAGTAAATTAACAACTAACGATACTGAGGGTTAGAGAAAAGATTAAGGAGGTCTAGAGTTATGATTTCCCCAATTGTCAGAATCCTTCCCGCTATGTCATCTATAATTTCGCCTAAGTATTCTCTACCGATCATGAGCACTCTTATTACCGTAAATCTCTCCCGAGTAATTACGACAATTTACTAGACACACTCTCCCGAGCTACGCTAGCTGGCTTTTAATATAGCTCACTTCAGATTGCACCCAAGGCTTCGTTATCCCTAATCCCGCCTTTAATCCCTCGGTTATTGATCCCTCATATACTCTGGGAGTGGTGTTGTTCAACAATTACCTAAATATGCACTCTCTCCCGAGTTATGCATACTAAATAGGCACAGCTAATTGAGAGCTCTTCAACCAACCACAATATAAACGTAGTTGAACAAATAGAGAAAAGCTATGGCTCAATTATATAAAAACATAACAAGAATTTATCCTACAAAAGGTTCTATCAAAACTCTAGATAACAAATTAGCTATTCATAATACTATGTAAAACTACAATACTAAAAGTCATAACCAACAATAAAAAATAGGAAGACGAAAAAAAAACTCGTAGAAGAATTCTCCGCCTTGCTCCCAATGTGTTCTTGCCTCCAAGGGTGTTGTCTAACCCTAAAGTAGTGTCTCTCCGCCTCCCTAGGTCTAATTTGTGTCCAAAATATGTCCCCCTCCTTGTTCTTTGCCGGCCTCCTTTGTTTAATATAGGGTTTAGGACTTAAAATCCCATGTTTTGCACTTTAGTACCTGAAATTTTCGCTTCCTGTCGCGGTTTTGCCGCGGTCGCGGTGGAACCGCGGCCAAACATGCCCTCTGATTCTTCAGTTGTCCGCGAGTACACTCTGCCGCAGTTCTGCCACGGTCGCAGTGGAACCGCGGTTTTTCATCCTGTTCTGTTTGGAATTTGGAAAAAAGTAAAACATGAAAGTTGTAGCCCTTT